AGGGAGGCAGCAAGAGCTGGGCCAGGAACTCCTGCGGATCGCCCTCTCCTTCCAGGGCAGACCCGTGTGAGCCGCCTCTCTGGCTCCAGACCTGACCGATGCCCGGAGCCCAGAACACGGCCTTCTGCAACTCACGGGGTGGCAGGAGAAGACGGCTGAGCCCTGGTGGTGTGAGCAGCATGAGTCCTGGCCCGGGAGCGGGTTTTGATGGGAATGCACCTCGGGGCAGCCCCCTTCCACCCTGGCCAGGCTTCTTTTGGTTAACTAGTTTATCACAGTCAAGGGGACGTGGGATAATTTGAGCTTAAAAAATATTGGGGGGCCGCGCGCAGTGGCTCACGCCTGTAATCCCAGCACTCTGGGAGGCCGAGGTGGGCGGATCACTTGACAGGAGGAGTTCGAGACCAGCCTGGCCAACACGGCGAAAACCCATCTCTACAAAAAAAATACAAAACTTAGCCAGGCATGGTGACTCACACTGTAATCCTAGCTACTCGGGAGGCTAAGGTTGGAGAATTGCTGGAACCCAGGAGGCGGAGGTTGCCGAGAGAGCCGAGATCACACCACTGCACTTCAGCCTGGCGCACTGAGCAAGACTGTTTCAAAAAAAAAAAGGGTGATGAGCATTTTAAATTATTTTCTCCCTTATGATGCATCTCTTTTCATGGGGTTTCCCGATATCTCACTGCCCAGTCCCTTCATTTGTGGAATGTGTTGGGTTGGAAAACAGCTGGTTGAAGATTTTAAGTTTAGACTAAAGAGCTAGTAACAAACAGCTTCAGAGTCAGGCTTGGTCTGAGTCTTGCTTGACAAGCCCCCACCGCTCCGCCTGGGGGGTGGGGGTGTGAGGAGGGCAAGGAAATCTGAGCCCGTTCCCCCTGAGCCCCATAACGCTGTTAACAAGTAGGAAAAATGAAAGCTCCCGGCCAGGTACAGTGGTGCACACCTGTAATTCCAGCACTTTGGGGGGCTGAGGTGGGAGGATCGCTTGAGACCAGCCTAAGCAACGTAGTGAGACCCCGTCTCAACAAAAAATAAAAACATTAGCCAGGTGTGGTGGCCTGTAGTCCCAGCTGCTCTAGCCGCTGAGTCAAGAGGATGGTCTCAGCCCACGAGGTCAAGGCTGCGGTGAGCTCATGATCATCGCACTGCACTCGGCAACAGAGCGAGACCCTGTCTCTAAAATAAATGACACAAAGAAAGAAAAGCTTGTCACCTTCTAGGACGCCAAGCGGCTGTTCCCTTGTGATGGGGCTGTGTGTGTGGTGGGGGCTTACCTGGGTCAGGTGGCTGCTCTGCTGTCCCTGTGGCCGGGCGAGGGGCAGGCTGTGGAGGCTGAGGGAGTGGCCTGGACCCGCATGGCCAGCCTTCCCTCCCACCACTGTGGGACAAAATGTTCATTTCCCTGCCACCTGCTGGGAACTAAATCCAGGGAACAGGAAAGTTTTGAGGCCAGCACTGCTCTTAACAGTCACCCCCAGAACCCTCTGGAAGCTGTAACGCTCGGAGCTGTGCACCGTCTATAAAGGAACATCCTGCCAGGGGCGGTGGCTTATGCCTGTAATCCCAGCACTTTGGGAGTCTGAGGTGGGCGGATCATGAGGTCAGGAGTTCCAGACCAGCCTGGCCAAGACTATGAAACCCGTCTATACTAAAAATGCAAAAATTAGCCGGGCTGTAATCCCAGCTACTCAGGAGGCTGAGGCAGGAGAATCACTTGAACCCTGAAGGCAGAGGTTGCAGTGAGCCAAGATCGTACCACTGTGCTCAAGCCTGGGCGACAGAGTGAAACTCCATCTCAAAAAAAAAAGCGTCTCAGCCGCTGGGCCCCATGGAGGGCTGAAGAGCCCAGCACAGCCCCAGGGGAGAGGCTGCCGGGTTTCTAGCTGCTGCGAGAGCCCAGCCACCGGGTGTGTGGGAGTGGCTCCCGGGCCACCTTGAGTTGGGCCGGAGCTCCATCTGATCCTCACTGCACTTGAGCAGATAAGCCAGCCCGTGGTCCACTCTCGAGGGAGCCAGTGCAAGGTCTCTGTCCCTGACAGGCTGGGCTGGCCCCTGCAGGAGGCTCCAGCAATGCAGGGCTCCATGGTGAGGGACATCTGGAGAACGAGGCACAGAGACATCGAGGGGAGAGGCCTGCAGAGGCCTGGGGACACTGTGGAGCAAAGAAACCTCTATCCCCAGGGTCCCCCCATGCTGGCCCTTCCAGCACTCCTCACAACACACTTTAGGAAACTCCATTACCTGGTAAGTTTGGGGGCACCCAGAGTTGGGTTTGTCCTTGAAGCTGTGACACGAAGACCCACGACACCTCACCCAACAAGGATGGGGCTGGGGAAGGCCGCGCCGGGATGCTTCTGCCACAGGCTGGCCCCTGGTACACTGCTCCATAGCCTCGTATGCTTCCTTTTCCTTTTTTTTTTTTTCTTGAGATGGAGTTTCGCTCTTGTTGCCCAGGCTGGAGTGCAGTGGCACGATCTCAACTCACTGCAACCTCCGTCTTCCCAGGTTCAAGTGATTCTCCTGCCTCAGCCTCCCAAGTAGCTGGGATGACAAGCATTCGCCACCATGCCCAGCTAACTTTTTCGTATTTTTAGTAGAGACGGGTTTCACCGTGTTGGTCAGGCTGGTCTCAAACTCCTGACTTTGTGATCCGCCCACCTCAGCCTCCCAAACTGCTGGGATTACTGGCATGAGCCACCGTGCCCAGCCTGTTTTTTTTCTTTTTTGGAGGTAGGATCTTGCTCTGTTGCCCAGGCTGGAGTGCAGTGGTGCCATGGCTCACTGCAGCCTGAAACTCCTGGGCTCAAGTGACCCTCCCACCTCAGCCTCCCAAAGCACTGGTGTGAGCCACCATGCCCAGCCTGCTCCACTGTTTCTGACGGGCTGGGCCCCCGGAGCCACCGCCTACAGGGTGACATCTGCTTACCCCATGTTTTGGGTAGCTGTTTCCACATCGGGCAGCACACTCCTCAGCAGACCAGGCTGCCTGCTCTCATGCTCTTGGAGCTTCAAGCAAGGGGACAGTGAGGCATTGGCCTGTGGACACACCTGATGGGGAAGTGCCAGCTCTGAGGGCGGCTTCCAGAGACATCCCATGCCAGAGCCGGCCAAACGGGGTCTCAGCTGACATTCCCCGGCGGCTTCGGAAGGACTTTCAGAAACGAGCACAGCAGGCTTGTTCAGAGTGGCAGGTGGTGAGGCTGAGGCCAGGGACAGGGTCAAGCTTCATCCGAGGCCCATTCTCTGGGGTTATTCCTGCCTCAATTTGTGTTGAGCCGGCTTGTCCCCTATCCCAAAGTACCCATGGGTGTGTGGGCCACAGACAGGCTGGGAAAGGGTTTAAGACAAGGTCTCACTTTTGTCACCCAGGCTGGAGTGCAGTGGCACAATCTTGGCTCACTGTAGCTTCCACCTCCCTGGGCTCAGATGATCCTCCCACCTCAGTATCCCTAGTAGCTGGGACTACAGGCATGTGCCACCAAGCCTGGCTAATTTTTGTATTTTTGTGCAGACAGGGTCTCGCTATGATGCCCAGGCTGGTCTCGAACTCCTTGGCTCAAGTGATGCACCCACCTCGGCCTCCCTAAGTGCCAGGATTACAGGTATGAGCTACAAGTTAGCAGGTTCTACATAGGTCTCAGATCCTGTCTGGGCCTTGCCCTGCTGGCTCCCACCAGGGCTCTACAGCATTTAAGGCAAAAAGTCTTGGGCCAGGGCCGGGCGTGGTGGCTCACACCTGTAATCCAAGCACTTTGGAGGCCAAGGCGGGTGGATCACCTGAGGTCGGGAGTTCAAGACCAGCCTGACCAACATGGTGAAACCCCGTCTCTAAAAAAATAAGGGCCGAGCGTGGTGGCTCAACCCTGTAATCCCAGCACTTTGGGAGGCCGAGGTGGGTGGATCACAAGGTCAAGAGATCGAGACCTTCCTGGTCAACATGGTGAAACCCCGTCTCTAACTAAAAATACAAAAAATTAACTGGGCACAGTGGTGCGTGCCTGTAATCCCAGCTACTCAGGAGGCTGAGGCAGGAGAATTGCCTGAACCCAGGAGGAGGAGGTTGTGGTGAGCCGAGATCGCGCCATTGCACTCCAGCCTGGGTAACAAGAGCAAAACTCTGTCTATAAAAATAAATAAATAAATAAATAAAATAAACATTAAATAAGTAAATAAATAAATGTCTTGGGCCGGAAGCAGTGGCTCACACCCGTAATCCCAGCACTTTGGGAGGCCAAGGCAGCAGGATCACTTGAGACCAGCCTGGCCAACATGGTGAAACCCCATCTCTACTAAAAATACAAAAGTTAGCCAGGCATAGTGGCAGATACCTGTAATCCCAGCTACTTGGGAGGCTGAGGCAGAATTGCTTGAACCTGGGAGGTGGAGGTTGCAGTGAGCTCAGATCGTGACACTACACTCTGGCCTGGGCAACAGGGCAAGACTCCATCTTGGAAAACAACAACAAAAAAAGGCTGCCTGGTGCTTCCTCATCAGTGTCACCAGCCCACAGGAGAGACTCACCTGTTCCTGCTGCCTGACTGGAGAGGCTGGAGAATGTCCCAAGGTGACTAGAGCTCCGATGGCTTCTCCTGAAGGGACTGGGGGGACCTCCAAGCCAACCCTGTCCAGACGGGCTCTGTTGTCGCTCAGCCACCCTCTGGGGCTGCCCCTTCTTTTGTTGCTGGAAAGAGGGTCTTGTCTGGGAGGGGAAGTGGCAGGCAGAGGCACCCTGAGTTCTCGGGGCCCCACCTGGCGGGAGCCCCACAGCAGCGTGTCTGGGCATGAGTACCCTGCCTCCATGCTAGAGATGTCCACGCCCCCTCGCTGGGGCAGCCTGGGAGTGACCAGTGACCAGGAGAAGGCCTGGGAGCACTCCAGGAGAACAGTCTCGAGCCGCAATGTGGGTCCCCCCACGCAGCAGAGGCCAGGGGACAGCCAGGGGCTGTGGTTTATCCCCTCTGCCCACAGCATCCCCCCAAGAACAGAAAGACTTTGAATAGCATCACGAGTTTATTCCGTTTCACCCAAGGCAAGTGTTTTAAAAGCCCGCACACAGGACAGTGGATGAGTTTGCCGCAGGTGACCTACAGAACGCCATGCACAGATCATCAGCACGAGGCAGGAAGGGGCTGCAGGTGAGCCTGCATCCACTCAGCCTTAAGTGGTCCTCAGCAGACCCGCCTAGAAGACGCTAAAACACGTTCTGCCTTCCAAGTTTCTAAAACAGAAACAGCGGTGTTTTGAAACATGTGGTCAGATGCTAAACGGAGTGGGTGTCCCACGTGGGAGGGGCCTTGGCATGTCTAGGCACCAGGAAGGATGTGCTCCAAATTAGGACAGGCCCCGGCTGGCTCCAGGGCACACTGAGGCAGAGGCCCCTGTTTTTGTTTTTTGTTTTTTTTCAGACAGTCCCGCTCTGTCACCCAGGCTGGAGTGCAGTGTCATGATCTCAGCTTACTGCAACCTCTGCCTCCTGGGTTCCAGCGATTCTCTTGCCTCAGCCTCCCTAATCTAGCTGGGATTACAGGCGTGTCACCATGCCCAGCTAATTTTTATATTTTTAGTAGAGACGGGGTTTCACCATGTTGGCCAGGCTGCTCTCCCACTCCTGACCTCAGGCGAGCCTCCTGCCTTGGCCTCCCAAAGCGCTGGGATTACAGGCGTGAGCCACCACGCTCAGCCAGGCCTCTGTTCTTAAACACTCTTCAAAGCCGGGCTAAACCTCAGCAAACCGAATTTCTAGGCTGCAGTGGCGTTCCCCATCGCCCTCCGACTGCAGCTCAGCCTCCATCTCCCCACACGCTCTGCGGCGACCCCAGTTTCCTCTCTCAGCCCCACGGCCCTACCCATGGTCGCTGGTATTCCCACAGCAAGGGCTTGCCTCATGCCTCTGAACTAGAGAGCCTGGAGCTGGATAACAAGAACTCTAGAAGAGACAGAACAAGGCCTTTCTTTGCCTGTGAAAATGATAGGAAAAAAAATAATTTAAAAAAAAAAACAAAACAGAACAAGAAATTCCAAGACTGTCATCCTCCTAATCAGAGGGCTAGACTTGGATGTGGCTCTGTCCCCACCCACATGCCACCATCACTGGGCACCTAATACCTGTCTGGATGCTGCCAGGCCAAGAGCTCTGCCTGGGGACCAGGTGCAGTAACTGGCCCCCAGATGGCACTGAACATGTGTTCCACGGTCTGAGGAATGTGGCATTGGGTGAGCAGGGACACAGATGGTCCAGGAAGGTGGGCAGCAGAAGGCCCGGCAGGGCCCTTCCCAAAAGGGTCAAGCCAGAGTAAGGGGCAGCTGCCCCTCCCAGCCGGGGGGAGCCACTGGTTTAGAATAGCTGGCTCATCTTGTCCCTGCCAGGACCCAAAGCCACTGCCTTGGAGGGACGCTGACATGCTTTTTTTTTTGAGACAGGGGTCTCACTCTGTCACCCAGGCTAGAGTGCAGTGGCATGATCTCGGCTCACTGCAATCTCCACCTCCTGGGTTCAAGCAATTCTCCTGCCTTAGCCTCCCAAGTAGCTGGAACTACAGGCGAGTGTCACCATGCCTGGCTAATTTTTTGTATTTTTAGTAGAGACGGGGTTTCACCATGTTGGCCTGGCTGGTCTCGAACTCCTGAACTCAAGTTATCTGCCTGCCTTGGCCTCCCAAAGTGTTGGGATTACAGGCATGTGCCACCACACCTAGCCAGTGGCACAATCATAGTTCACTGCGGCCTTTACTTCCCAGGCTCAAGCAATCCTCCCACCTCAACCTCCCAAGTAGCTGGAACTACAGGTGTGCACCATCACGCCCGGCTAATTTATTTTATTTATTATTATTGTTTGAGACAGAGTTTTGCTCTGTTGCCCAGGCTGGAGTACAGTGGCATGATCTTGGCTAACTGCAACCTCCGCCTCCTGGGTTCAAGCAGTTCTCCTGCCTCAACCTCCCGAGTAGCTGGGATTACAGGTACCCGCTACCATACCTGACTAAGTTTTTTTATTTTTACTAGAGACAGTCTCACCATGTTGTTGCCAAGGCTGGTCTTGAACTGCTGACCTCAAGTGATCTGTCTGCCTCAGCCTCCCAAAGTGATAGGATTACAGGCGTGCCACTGTGCCCAGTCTGGCTAATTTAAAATAATTTTTTTTAGCGATGGGGTCTTGCTATGTTGCCCAGGCTAATCTCGCACTCCTGGGCCCAAGTGATCCTCCCTCCTCGGCCTCCCAAAGTGCTGAGATGACAGGCGTGAGCCACCTTGCCTGGCTGATATTGACATTCTTTAGCAAAGCAAACACACAAGAGGTAAAACTGTAAGAGGCGTTTCTACAGGCTGCTGGAAAGTACAGATGTGCTGGAGGGCAAGGGTCACAGACAGTTGTGTGCAGGGGACACAAAGGATGCACCTCTCAGAAGACATGGGGCTCTGGCCCCCGGGGATGCCACAGCTTTCTCGTGGGGACCCTCAGCGCGGCTCCCCAAGGGCCCCTCAGCACAGGGGACTGCGTGTCAGGGTCTCTGTTCTCCGTGGCAGTCACATTTCCAGAGACCCCGACCAGGCCACCCAGAATTCCACAGCACGGCCGACCCAGACCCTGCTGAGAGCTTCAGCTTTTACAAGAGATGTGCTCGGAGCATGAAGAAGCCCACTGACTATTTTTTTTTTTTAACCAAATTCCACTCTTGTTGCCCAGGCAGGAGTGCAATGGCATGATCTCAGCTCACTGCAACCTCCACTTCCTGGGTTCAAGCAATTCTGCCTCAGCCTCCCGAGTAGCTGGGATTACAGGCACCCGCCACCATGCCTAGCTAATTTCTGTATTTTTAGTAGACAGGGTTTCACCATGTTGGCCAGCTGGTCTCGAATTCCTGACCTCAGGTGATCCACCCGCCTCGGCCTTCCAAAGTGTTGCGATTACAGGCACGCGCCACTGCGCCCGGCCCCAGTATTTATGAGAACAAGACAAGGCATGGGTGGCCGTCCAGGTTACAGCTGGAGGAGGGGGTAAAGGAGGTTGGTTGTATAAGCAGCTCAGGGCAGCTAGTGCTGCGGTGTGCGTGTGCAGCCCAGGAGCGTGGCTTCAGGTCTACCAGATGCCCTCAGGGACAAGGCCAGGACCCACACTGCACGGCACAGTCACTGTGTAGGCCCGGACCCAGTGTCGGCTGAGAGGCCTGGAGGCGTCTTGCCTCCCCTGTAGTCACTCGGTGTCATAACAAGGAGGGCACCCATTTGGCCTGGGCCGACCCCTGGCCCCACTACCCACAGGCCAGGCCAATGGCCTTGGCTAGACAGGAAGTCCCCCGGGCTGTCCCCTTGCTGCCTGGGGCCCAGGCAACCCCGAGGCCAAGGAACCAGCGTAGCTTTGCCCCTATGCTCTTAGCAACACTATCCCTCGTTGAACCAGACGGCTCCAACTTAGGAGAGAAGTCATCCAGTTCTTACGGCATTAAGACAAGAGGAAAACTTTGGTCTCTTTTTTTAAGACGGAGTCTTGCTCTGTCCCCCAGGCTGGACTGCAGTGGTGCCATCCTGGCTCACTGCAATCTCCGCCTCCTGGGTTCAAGCGATTCTCCTGCCTCGGCCTCCCAAGTAGCTGGGACTATAGGTGCCCACCACCACACCTGGCTAACTTTTTGTGTTTTTAGTAGAGACGGGGTTTCACCATGTTGGCCAGGATGGTCTCGAGCTCCTGACCTCATGATCCGCCTGCCTCGGCCTCCAAAGTGCTGGGATGACGGGCATGAGGCACAGTGCCCTGGGAAAACTTTGGTCTTGAACTATCCGGCAGCCTTGCAAAATCTCTGTATCTAACAAATGCCTGCCGATGCGGCTCCAGGGCATAGGCCCACCGCACCCCTCCCCGGGCCGGCCCCTCACACGACCTGCAGGCTGCGCTCGTGCCCGTCCAGCTGCACCTTGAGCTTGTGCAGCTCCTCGATCTCGCGGTTGTGGCGCTCCGTTTTGTGGCGCACCAGGGAGCGGTAGAAGTGGATGGTGAAGACCACGAAGATGAGGCCCACGGGCACCATGATGATGGTGGACACTAGGGCGGCCTGCCAGCCTGTGTGGCTGCCGGGGCTGGGCGGGGGACCAGACTGGCGCCGGGCGTCCACGGGGAGGAACTTAATCCAGCAGAGCAGCACCACCTCGGCCAGGAAGAGCAGGATGCCGAGCACGGTGGAGAAGCCCCAGGCCAGCTCGATGTAGGGGTGCATGCGCTCGTGCGGGGACTCGCTGATGGAGTTCAGGTTGTGGATGTTGCTCACGGCCTCCACGTTGGGCAGGATGCAGGTGCTGATGAGGAGGGCGAACAGGTGCACGGCCACCAGCACAGTGGTGCAGGCGCTGAAGGCAATTAGCAGTGGCCGCGGGTACTGGTACTGCGTCTCCAGCTGCACCTCCACCATGGCCACCTGCGGGGACAGCGGACGGCTGGGACTGGGTGCGGGGAGGGCAGGGCAGGGGCTGGGCTGGGTTCCTTGGGGAACAGGGCCATGGGAGCCCTGGACTTGCCTACTGGTGGGACTCACCCATGTTCTGGGTCCTTGAAGACCAGAGGGCATCCTCCTCACTGATCAAATATTTCACATTTTCCTTTGTTTTAATTAGCTAAAGAAGACCGCACTGAGAAAAAATCTAAACGGTACAGAAGAGGCTGGTGCAGTGGCTCACGCCTCTAATCCCAGCACTTTGGGAGGCTGAAGCTGGTGGATCACTTGAGGCCAGAAGTTAGAGACCAGCCTGGCCAACATGTTGAAACCCAGTATCCACTAAAAATACAAAAATTAGCCAGGCATGGTGTCGTGGCCCTGTAATCCCAGCTACTCAGGAGGCGGAGGCAGGAGAATCACTTGAACCCTGGAGACGGAGGTTGCAGTGAGCCAAGATCACGCCACTGCACTCCAGCCTGGGCCACAGAGCGAGACTCTGTCTCAAAACAGGCTGGGCTCGATGGCTCACACCTGTAATCCCAGTACTATGGGAGGCCTAACAGGTGGATCACCTGAGGTCAGGAGTTCAAGACCAGCCTGGCCAACTGGTGAAACCCCATCTCTACACACAAAACTTAGCTGGGCGTGGTGGCGCAAACCTGTGGTCCCAGCTACTTGAAAGACTGAGGCAGGAGAATTGCTTGATCCTGAGAGGCGGAGGTTGCAGTGAGCCGAGATGGCACCACTGCACTCCAGCCTGGGCAACCGAATGAGACTCCATCTCAAAAAAAAAAAAAGAAAAAAAACAAAACCAAAAAAAGCCATAAAAGTTAATAAAAAGAAAAAAACACAAAAGTTAAAAACTGGCCGGGTGCAATGGTTCATGCCTATAATCCCAGTGGTTTGGGAGGCTGAGGCAGGAAGGTTGCCTGAGGCCAGGCATTCAGGATGCTGTGAGCTGTGATCACACCACTGCACTTCAGCCTGGGCGGCGGAGTGAGACCTCGCCTCTACAAAAAAAGGAAACTGACCTTTCAGGCGTGGTGACTCATGTCTGTAATCCAGCACTTTGGGTGGCAGAGGAGGGAGGATCACTCGAGCCCCGGAGTTTGAGACCAGCCAGGGCAACATAGTGAGAGCCCATCTCTACCAAAAAAAAAAAAAAAAAAAAAAGGGAAACTGACCTTTTAAAAGACAACAAATGACGCCGGGCGCAGTGGCTCATGCCTGTAATCCCAGCACTTTAGGAGGCCAAGGTGGGCTGATCACTGGAGGTTGGGAGTTTGAGACCAGCCTGACCAACATGGAGAAACCCTGTCTCTCCTAAAAATACAAAATTAGCCAGGAGTGGTGGTACATGCCTGTAATCCCTGCTACTCGGGAGGCTGAGGCAGGAGAATTGCTTGAATCTGGGAGGTGGAGGTGGTGAGCCAAGATTGCACCACTGCACTCCAGCCTGGGCAACAAGAGTGAAACTCTGTCTCAAACACACACACACACACACACACACAATTGGAACTGCCAACTCAGAGCTGCACACCTGGATGGCATCAGACAGACCACACTGTGCCTCCTCCGTGGAGACCAAAAACCCTGGGAGAAACGGAATCTTGAAAGCCCAGGAAAGGGGATAGAAGTGAGGCCGAGGGTGAGGAGGGAGGCTGTGGAAAGGAGGCGTGGCTGGGTGTCCTAAGGAAGCAAAAGTCAGCCACAGTTGGAGGTTACAGCAAGGACTGTCTAAGGCAGAAAAGCCAAGTGCCGGCAGTTCTGCATGGTGTCTTGAACTGTCAGGTCGGCCGGGCGCAGCGGCCCATGCCTGCCATCCCAGCACTTTGGGAGGCCAAGGCACGCGGATCACTTGAGGTCAGGAGTTCAAGACCAGCCTGGCCAACATGGAGAAACCCCATCTCTACTAAAAATACAATTAGCCGGGCGTGGTGGCGGGCGCCTGTACTTGCAGCTACTTGGGAGGCTGAGGCAGGAGAATCACTTGAACTCGAGAGGCGGAGGTTGCTATGAGCTGAGATCGTGCCACTGCACTCCAGCCTGGGTGACAGAGCAGGACTCTGTCTCATTTAAAAGAAAGAAAAAAAAGAGCCTTTTCTTCCAGTAATTCGCCAAAATGACAAACACAAAGGGAAAGCGGAGAGGCGCTCGATGCACGTTCTCCAGGCCTTTCAGAAAATGTGGAGTTGTTCCTTGGGCCACGTATATGCGAATCTATAAGAAAGGTGATACTGTAGACATCAAGGGAACGGGTACTGTTCAAAAAGGAACGCCCCACCAATGTTATCATGGCAAAACTGGAAGAGTCCACAGCGTTCCCCAGCATGCTGTTGGCATTGTTGTAAACAGACAAGTTAAGGGCAAGATCCTTGCCAAGAGAATTATTGTGCGTATTGAGCACATCAAGCACTCTGGGAGCCGAGATTGCTTTCTAAAACGTGTGGAGGAAAATGATCAGAAAAAGAAAGAAGCCAAAGAGAAAGGTACCCGGGTTCAACTGAAGCGCCAGCCTGCGCCAGCCAGAGAAGCGCACTGTGTGAGAACCAGTGAGAAGGAGCCTGAGCTGCTGGAACCTCTTCCCTATGAATTCATGGCATAATAGGTGTTAAAAAAAATTTAAAACCTCTGGACTGAAAAAAAAAATAAGAAAAAAAGAAGTCAGGGGAAGATTCTTCTACGCACAGTTTCCCTCCCAGACCTGAGCCATCCTATTTTAAAAAATAACTCAGGTCAGATGTGGTGGCTCATGACTGTAATCCCAGCACTTTAGGAGGCCGAGGGAGGCAGATCACCTGAGGTCAGGAGTTCGAGACCAGCCTGGCCAACATAGGAAAACTGTCTCTATTAAAAATATAAAATGAGCCGGGCACAATGGTGCATATGCCTGTGATCCCAGCTACTGGGGAGGCTGAGGCAGGAAAATCGCTTGAACCTGGGAGGCAGAGGTTGCAGTGAGCTGAGATTGCACCACTGCACTCCAACCTGGGAAACAGAGTGAGACAAATAAATAAATGAATTAAATTAAAAATAACTCAGGAGGCTGGGCCCCGAGTTGGAGGCTGCAGTGAGCCATGATTGCACCACTGCACCACAGCCTGGGCAACAGAGCAAGATCCTGGTTGGGAAAAGATAAAATGAAATATATGAACAAATATATATATGAAGATTTCATAATATCCTTCAGCAACTACCACCTCTTAGAAGCTCATCCCTTCACCTCAATTTCAGTTATGATAGACTTCCTAGATGAAAGAAGATATGGAAGTCCTAGTGGACCAGAGCTGAACAGCAACTCAGCAGTAACATGGCTGGGGCCACTGTGAAATGTATTCAAAAACCAGTAGCCACAGAACATGGGCTAGGGGGTGGTTGTTCTCAGTGTGGCCCTGGGTTAGCTATGGTCACCTCAAAGGGTATGGCGCAACCAAAGGATATTGCAAACCACAGAGGCCTCCAAGATAGGAAAGAAAGATGATTATGAGGTAGAGGACGACGCTTGCAAAAAGTGGTTTTGTTCCACCTCAAGAGGAGAAAAGGGGCTGGGCGCAGTTGCTCACTCTCCTGACCTCAGCACTTTGGGAGGCTGAAGCAGGAGGATCACTTAAGGCCAGGAGTTCAAGAACAGCCTGGGCAACAAAGCGAGACCCCATCTCTATTAAAAAAAAAAAAAAAAAAGACTGGAGAAGTTTCTATTATGTGACAGCAAAAAAAAAAAAAAAAAACAAAAAAACAAAGAAGAAGGAAGGAAGAACGAGAAAGAAGAGGAGGAGGAGGAGGAGGAGGAGGAGGCAATTTTTCACTGTGTTCATGCAGACTTTTTTTTTTTATTTACTTTTTTTTTTTTTTTTTGAGACAGAGTCTTGCTCTGTCTCCAGGTGCCAGGTTGGAGTGCAGTGGTGCCATCTTGGCTCACTGCAACCTCCGCCCCCCACGTTCAAGCAATCCTGCCTCAGCCTCCCGAGTAGCTGGGACCACAGGCATGCGCCACCATGCCCAGCTAATTTTTGTATTTTAGTAGAGATGGAATTTCACTATGTTAGCCAGGATGGTCTCAATCTCTTGACCTCGTGATCCACCCGCCTCAGCCTCCCAAAGTGCTGGGATTACAGGCCTGATGAGCCTCTGCACCTGGCCCTAATTTTTTTTTTTTTAATTGAGACACAGTACTGCTCTGTCATCCAGGCTGGAGTGCAGTGGCCCTATCTCGACTCACTGCAACCTCCACCTCCCAGGTTCAAGCAATTCTCCTGCCTCAGTCTCCCCAGTAGCTGAGACTACAAGCACACACCACCACACCTAATTTTTTGTTTTTGTTTTTTTGCTTTGCGACGGAGTCTTGTTCTGTCACCCAGGCTGGAGTGCAGTGACGTGATCTCAGCTCAGTCCAACCTCTCCCTCCCGGGTTCAAGTGATCCTCTGGCCTCAGCCTCCTGAGTAGCTGAAATTACAGGTGCCTGCCACCAAGCCCGGCTAATTTTTGTATTTTTAGTAGAGACAGGGTTTCACTATGTTGGCCAGGCTGGTCAGAAATTCCTGACCTCAAGTGATCTGCCTGCCTTGGCCTCCTAAAGTGCTGGGATTACAGGCCTGAGCCGCCACGCTCAGCCTATGCAGAGGTTTTATGAGGGGGCCTCAGATCACTGGTTTTGTGTGTTGGAAGAAGGATAAGCATAAAGAAATTAAGCTTCAGGTTAGGCATAAGCAGGTGTTGCTAGACAAAGGAGCAGCTTTGCAATTCTAATGAGGGAAGACACATCACGAAGGGCAAACGCTACCTTGCAGCCTGCAGGTTTGCATGCTCCCCGGTGCCTGCCCTGACTCAGCCATGTTTCTGATGCTTAGGATTTGTCACTTATTTGTCCCTAGCTGCCCTGCAGTCTGCAGAATGATCTGACCTGATGACGCTGTGCTAACCTAATCACGCAGGTGCACTACGGCTCCCCTGCCCACCACCCTGAGTCTCAGCTCCATGCCAGATGGTTCACTTCCTTCCCCTGCAGCTGGTGCTCTGTATCTGTGAATTCCACATCTGCAGATTCAACCAGTTGTGAGTCAAAAAAAATTGAGGGGAAAAACCAAAGTAAAACCACAATATTTCTTCCTTGGCATAAGGTGAGGAAAAAAAGAACAATAAAAAGTAACACACCAACCTGGGCAACAGAGCAGGATCCACCTCTTTTTTTTTTTTTGAGGTGGAGTCTCGCTCTGTTGCCCAGGCTGGAGTACAGTGGCACAATCTCAGCTCACTGCAACCTCCACCTCCCAAGTTCAAGTGATTTCCTGCCTCGGCCTCTTGAGTAGCTGGGATTACAGGTGCCTGCCATCACACCTGGCTAAGTTTTGTATTTTTAGTAGAGACGGGGTTTCTCCATGTTGGGTCAGGCTGACCGGGCTGGTCTCCAACTCCTGACTTCAGGTGATCCTTGAACCTCAGCCTCCCAAAGTGCTGGGATTACAGGCGTCAGCCACCTTGCCCAGCCAACTTTTTCTTTTAAAATACACCATCAATCTAACAACTGAGGCTCTGGCTTGTAGAAAAACAACTGAGGCCAGGCATGGTGGCTCGAGCCTGTAATCCCAGCACTTTAGGAGGCCAAGGTGCATGGATCACCTGAGGTCAGGAGTTCGAGACCAGTCTGGTCAACACCGTGAAACCCCCATCTCTACTAAGAATACAAAATTAGCTAGGTGGGGTGGTGTGTGCCTGTAGTCCCAGATACTCAGGAGGCTGAGGCAGGAGAATTGCTTGAACCTGGGAGGTGGAGGTTGCAGTGAGCAGGAATCACGCCACTGCAGTACAGCCTAGGTGACAGAGCGAGACTCCATCTCAAAAAAAGAAAAAGAAAAACAAGGGCCGGGCGCGGTGGCTCAAGCCTGTAATCCCAGCACTTTGGGAGGCTGAGGCGGGTCGATCACAAGGTCAAGAGATCAAGACCATCCTGGTCAACCTGGTGAAACCCCGTCTCTACTAAAAATACAAAAAATTAGCTGGGCATGGTGGCGTGCACCTGTAATCCCAGCTACTCAGGAGGCAGAGGCAGGAGAATTGCCTGAACCCAGGAGGCAGAGGTTGTGGTGAGCCGAAATCGCACCATTGCACTCCAGCCTGGGTAACAAGAGCAAAACTCTGTTTTCACATAAGGAAATAGGCTGAACAAGGTGTAATGCCAGCACTTTGGGAGGCCGAAATGGGAAAATCATTTGAGAGTTCAAGACCACAGTGAGTTATGATTGCACCCCTGTACTCCAGTGTAGACAACGGAGCAAAGAACTTGTCTCAAAAAAAAAAAAAATTAGCCAGACATGGTGGCACGTGCCTGTAATTCCAGGTACTCAGGAGGCTGAGGCAGGAGGATGGTTTGAGCCCAGGAAGTGGAGGCTGCAGTGAGCCATGATCATACCACTGCACTCTCCAGCCTGGGCAACAGAGCAAGACCCTGTCTCTAAAAACAAAACAAACAATAAATAAATCACTTCCACTCAATAGGGCCTGTGAGCGCACGGTTGTGTCCTCACTCTGAGTCCTTAACCTGTGGGACAATTCCCTCCAGGGATGTGGGACAATTCCCTCCAGGCCTTTGGGATCAACAGGAGATGGGTCCCTTGTCAGAGCTGCAGCTGACTCTTGTCCTAGGGGATGACTCAGAGAGAAGGCAGCCCAGGAGCCAGGCCAAAAGCTCTGCTGTCACCCTGGAGGCCACATTCCAGGAATGTCTGCGTCCTAACTGGGCCAAACGGATCCAACCCCAGTCAGTCCCCGAGGCCCTGCTCAGATCCCTGAGAGCGCGAAACTTCTGGGTGGTGCCCAAGACAGGGCAGACATGGGCACCTTTCTTCAGGAAACCCTGTACCATGCAGCGATTTGATTTTATTTAATCTTGTTATTTTTATATTTTTTTATTTTTAGACAGAGTCTTACTCTGTCGCCAGGCTGGAGTGAGGTGCACGATCTCGGCTCACTGCAGCCTCTGCCTTCCGGGTTTAAGCAGTTCTCCTGCCTCAGCCTCCTGAGTAGCTGGGACTACAGGCGCGCACCACCACACCCAGCTAATTTTTTTTTTGTATTTTTAGTAGAGACAGGGTTTCACCATGTTGGCCAGGATGGTCTCAATCCCTTGACCTCGTGATCCACCCACCTTTGCCTCCAAAAGTGCTGGGATTACGGGCATGAGCCACCGTACCTGGCCTTTTAAATTAATTAATTAATTTTGAAAAGAAGTCTCACTCTTACCCAGGCTGGAGTATAGTGGCATGACCTCGGCTCACTGCAACTTCCGGCCTCCCCCAGGTTCAAGCAAGTCTTGTGTCTCAGCCTCCCGAGTAGCTGGGATTACAGGCACCTGCCACCATGCCGAGCTATTGTTTTTGTATTTTTAGTAGACACAGGGTTTCACCGTGTTGGCCAAGCTGGTCTCGAACTCCTGATCTCAAGTGATCCACCAGCCTCAGCCTCCTAAAGTGTTGGGATTACAGGAGTGAGCCATCACACCCGGCTATATTTTATTTGATTGTTTTAGAGATGGGGTTTCGCTCTGACATCCAGGCTGGAGTGCAGTGGTATAATCATAACTCACTGAGGTCTTGGCCTCCTGCCCCAGTCTCCGAAGTAGCTGGGGCTACAGGCGCTCACCACCATGCCCAGCTAATTTATTTATTGAAATTTTGTAAAGACGAGGGTCTCACTATGTTGCCCAGGCTGTTATCAAACTCCTGGCCTCAAGCTATCCTCCCACCTTGGCCTTCCAAAGTGCTGGGATTACAGACATGAGGCACAGCACCTAAGCTACTGTAATTACCCTGCACTGGCCGGGCACGGTGGCTCATGCTTGTAATCCCAGCACTTTGGGAGGCCGAGGAGGGTGGATCACCTGAGGTTAGGAGTTCAAGACCAACCTGGGCAACATGGAGAAACCCCTTCTCTACTGAAAATACAAAAATTAGCCGGGAGTGGTGGCATATGCCAGTAATGTCAGCTACCTAGGAGGCTGAGGCAGGAGAATCGCAGGAACCCAAATACAGAGTCTGCAGTAAGCTGAGATCGTGCCACTGCACTCCAGCCTGGGCGACAGAGCAAGACTTGGTCTCAAAAAAAAAAATTCCCCTGTACTAACCTCCCTCCTTCCTAAGTATTTCCTAAGCAAACACTTGACAGGAACAGGAGAGGGTGCTTTCTGAGGATTCCAGAGCTTGGAGCCCCTTATTCCTGGCACTCCCAGAGCCGTCCCCTTAGAGGAGCTAGGACTTGGGCGGATGCTTCCCAGTGCTTCCCTGCCAGATACTGGAGGAAACGCTTTGGTCCCCGAGGCATCCCAGGACCTCGGTTAGCAAGGCCCATCTGACCAGTGCGCTCCTCACCTCGTGCCCACACTCACCATGGCGAAGCCAGAGAGGAGGGCGGAGGTCCTGCTGGAGGCCTTCAGCTTGGCCCTGCTCAGGTAGAGCTTCCTCCATGACAGGGCCTGCACCGAGTGGTGGTTGGAGGTGACCAGTTCCAGGTAGCTGCGGCGAACCCAGTCCCGGTAATCCATGCCCTTGTGGCCGGGCTCGGGGCAGGCAGGCGTGGAGGGGTCGACAGGCACGTTGAGCTCAGCGCTCATGGTGGGAGCCAGGCTGAGGGTGGGAGAGAGACACACTCAGGCATCCTAGGTTGCTGCGGCCAGGAAGAGCTAGACTCCAAGCCCGTTCAATCTGCAAAGACTGCCGTATACAGCCCCCGCCAGAGCCCAGGGTTTAGAACATGCCCCGGACCTAAAGGTATGTTTGTTGGTTTGCTTTTGAGACAGTATCTCACTCTGTCGCCCAGGCTGGAGTGCAGCAGTGTGATCTCGGCTCACTGCAACCTCCACCTCCTGGGTTCAAGCAATTCTCCTGCCTTAGCCTCTAATTTTTGTGTTTTTAGTAGAGACGGGGTTTCTCCATGTTGGCCAGGTTGGTCTTGAACTCCTGATCTCAAGTGATCCACCTGCCTCAGCCTCCCAAAGTGCTGGGATTACAGGAATGAGCCACCACACCGGGCCCACCAGGGCATAGTTATGAAACCTGGATTTCACTGTTTTGTGTGATTCTGAACATGACAGCTGACCTTTTTGACCTGGCTCCTTCATCTTGAGAATGGGGATATTTCCACCTATAGGACTTTTATTTTATCTATCTATCTATCTATCTATCTATCTATCTATCTATCATCATCATCTATCTATCTATCTGAGACAGAATCTTGCTGTGTCACCCAGGCTGGAGTGCAATGGCGCGATCTCGGCTCACTGCAACCTCTGACTCCCAGATTCTTCTGTCTCAGCCTCCCAAGTAGCTGGGACTACAGGTGCCCACCAACACACCTGGCTAATTTTTGTATTTTTAGTAGAGACCAGGCTGATCTTGAATTCCTGACCTCATGATCCACCTGCCTCAGCCTCCCAAAGCGCTGGAATTACAGGTGTGAGCACAGCGCCTAGCCTATTTATTTTTTAAATAGAGACGGGGTCTCACTGTGTTGCCCAGGCTGGAATGCGGTGGTACCATCATAGCTCACTGCAGCCTCAAACTCCTAGGCTCAAGGGATCCTTCTGCCTCAGCCTCCTGAGGAGCTAGGACCACAAACACAGGACCACGCCTGCTAATTTTTTTTAGATTTTTTCTAGAGACAGGTGTCTCACTATATTGCTCAGGCTGGTTTTGAACTCCTAGCCTCAAGCAACCCTCCCTCTACACCTCCCAAAGTGGTGGGATTACAGGTGTGAGCCATTGCCCCTGGCCTCATCTCTAGGGCTTTTGAACAAGAAATGCACCCGAAGACAAAAAACGTCTTTCAACATGCCAGTCATGGAATAAACATTTCCAAGTAGCTGCTAGTTTCTCAAATCCAACTTAAATTTTATTTTTTTAAACTTAAATTTAAATTTATTTTTTAGACAGTCTCACTCTGTTGCCCACGCTGGAGTGAAGTGGTACAATTTTAGCTCACTGCAGCCTCTGCCTCGCAGGTTCAAGCCATTCTCCTACCTCAGCCTCCTGAGTAGCTGGGATTACAGGTACATGCCACAATGCCTGGCTAATTTTTTTTCTTTTTTTATTTTTACATGAGGTTCCTTAGCAGTAGAATAATTTTTATATTTTTAGTAGAGACAGGGTTTCATAATGTTGTCCAGGCTGGTCTCGAACTCCTGATCTCAGGTGATCTGCCAGCCTCGGCCTCCCAAAGTGCTGGGATTACAGGTGTGAGCCACCATGCCCGGCCTTCAACTTAAATTTTAATCAGTACAGTTCACCCTAAGAAAAATAGGCTGGGCGCGGTGGCTCAAGCTTGTAATCCCAACACTTTGGGAGGCCGAGGTGGGTGGATCACGAGGTCAAGAGATCGAAACCAACTTGGTGAAACCCCGTCTATACTGAAAATACAAAAAATTAGCTGGGCACGGTGGTGCATGCCTGTAATCCCAGCTACTCAGGAGTCTGAGGCAGAATTGCCTGAACCCAGGAGGCGGAGGTTGCGGTGAGCCAAGATCACGCCATTGCACTCCAGCCTGGGTAACAAGAGCGAAACTCAGTCTCAAAAAAAAAAAAATATTGGGACTTACGTAACTAAAGCCACATCCAAGCTACAAGGGAAACTTTTAGCAAAATGAAAAATGAAATCAGCCAACTCACACGAGCACATTTTAAGGAGAAACAAACGTCGGAGATGCCTGGACTCACACCTGGCAGACATCTGGTTTGACTAACACGGATTAAACATCAGAGGACGTATCTGTCAAGATTTGTGAATTTAAACCTAAATCTCCACTAATCTAAGTAGGGGATTGGCGGTTGCGTGTGTCCCAAGGAGCTGGGCTGCTCGGCCACACGCCAGGATCCAGTTCTTATTAATCTGCAGGGCGTGCTTCAAGGGCTCAGGCACCTGGTGCTTTACTTGGCATCATAAAGAGTAACTTTTCCAGCCTGGCCAACATGGCGAAACCCCGTCTCTACTAAAAATACAAAAATTGGCCAGGCGTGGTGGCTCACACCTGTAATCCCAGCACTTCGAGAGTCTGAGGTGGGCAGATCACCTGAGGTCAGGAGTTCGAGACCAGCCTGACCAACATGGAGAAACCTGTCTCTACTTAAAGAAAACACAAAATTAGCCGGGCATGGTGGTGGATACCTGTAATCCCAGCCACTCAGGAGGCTGAGGCAGGAGAATCACTTGAACCCAGGAGGTGGAGGCTGTGGTGAGCCAAGATGACATCATTGCACTCCAGCCTGAGCAACAAGAGCGAAACTCTGTCTCCAAAAAAAAAAAAAGAAACCAAAAATTAGCTGGGTGTGGTGTCAGGCACCTGTAATCCTGGCTACTCAGGAGACTGAGGCAGGAGAATTGCCTGAACCCGGGAGGCACAGGTTGCAGTGAGCTGAGATCTCACCACTGGACTCCAGCCTGGGTGACAGAGCAGGACTCCGTCTCAAAGAAAAAGAAAGAAGGGGCTGGGTACGTTGGCTCACACCTGTAATTCCAGCACTTTGGGAGGCCAAGGTGGGCGGATCACATGGTGAAACCCATCTCTACTAAAATATAAAAAAATTAGCTGGGCACTGTGGTGCCGCCTATAATCCCAGCTACTCAGGAGGCTGAGGCAGGAGAATTGCTTGAACCTGGAAGGCGGAGGTTGCAGTGAGCCGAGAACTCCAGCCTGGCAACAGAACAAGACTCCATCTCAAAAAAAAAAAAAAAAAAAAAAAAAAGGTAACTTCTATGTCCAGGCCCACATAGGCCCCACGGAAAGCCTACCTCAGGCTATTACACACAGATCAGTGTTTCTAGGTCTCAGGGAGTGTGGCTGGGGGCGGTGGGTGTAGTAGGGGCTGTTTAGCAGGGTCAGCAGCTGAGGAAATGCCCCAAACTTTGTCTATCCATGCCAGAGTCGAGCCCCTCATAATTGAAAATGCCCTAGGCCGGGCACGGTGGCTCACACCTATAATCCCAGCACTTTGGGAGGCCGAGGCGGGTGGATCGCTAGGTCAAGAGATCGAGACCATCCTGGTCAACATGGTGAATCCCTGTCTCTACTAAAAATACAAAACTTAGCTGGGCATGGTGGCGCAGCCTGTAGTCCCAGCTACTCGGGAGGCTGAGGCAGGAGAATTGCTTGAACCCAGGAGGCGGAGGTTGCAGTGAGCCGAGATCGTGCCATTGCACTCCAGCCTGGGTAATTAGAGCAAAACTCCATCTCAAAAAAAAAAATAAAAAAATAAAATGAAAATGCCCTAATTTGGAAATTACACAGGAAGGTGCTAGAGGTGGAAAACAGTCTCGCCTTTCTCTTTTTTCTCTGCCAGGCTACAAAGCCACAGCCTTCCCTGGCCTATGGGACCTCTGGGAACAGTTCTGTGCTATTTCTGCCAGGGGATGCCAATTACCAGGTCATTTATACGAATGCCAGCTCGGGCTCTCGGTCCCATCTCCTCACGCACATCCGTAGCTAGGAGCACCACGTCCAGGCACTTCCATCCCTGGGACGTCTCTTCCCTTGGGGAGAATTCACAGAAACGCTGCAATCCATAGGTTAGCTCCATATAATGAAAAATGCTATCTATAATTTGGAAATTCCTTTTTTCCTCTTCCCCCACCCTCACAGTTAACGGAATTGTGTGTACAGGTCTGAGGAACGGCAGTATAGAGAGAGGGGAGGGGTGAGAAGCTAACCTTTGCTCCTTCTGTCCCCTGTCCTACGTCACATAGGCACTTACCACACTGGGTACTTAAGGATCCAGGATGAAAGAGGCAAGAATTGACGATCTCCCAGTAGGGGAGCAAGATAAAGGGATGCGGGTCAGGAAAAGTGGCTCATGCCTGTCATCCCAGCACTTTGGGAGGCCACGACGGGTGGATCACTAGAGGTCAGGAGTTTCCAGATCAACTTGGACAACATGGTAAAACCCCATCTCAACTAAAAATACAAAAATTAGCTGGGTATGGTGGCATGCACCTGTAATCCCAGCTACTGAGGAGGCTGAGCCAGGAGAATCACTTGAACCCGGGAGGCGGAGGTTGCAGTGAGCCGAGATTGCGCCGCTGCACTCCAGACTGGGTGACAGACCCAGACTTCATCTCAAAAAAAAAAAAGGGGCCAGGTGCAGTGGCTCATTGGGTCATGCCTGTAATCCCAGCACTTTGGAAGGCTAAGGCAGGCAGATCACTTGAGGTCAGGAGTTGGAAACCTGCCTTGCCAACATGGTGAAACAAAAATTAGCCAGGCATGGTGGCGTGCACCTGCAGTCCCAGCTGCTCAGGAGGCTGAGGCAGGAGAATCGCTTGAGCCCAGGAGGCAAATGTTGCAGTGAGCTGAGACTGCACCATCGCACTCCAGCCTGGGTGACAGAGTGAGACTCTGTCTTTTTTTTTTTTTTTGAGACGGAGTTTCGCTCTTGTTACCCAGGCTGGAGTGCAATGGCGCGATCTCGGCTCACCGCAACCTCCACCTCCTGGGTTCAGGCAATTCTCCTGCCTCAGCCTCCTGAGTAGCTGGGATTACAGGCACGCGCCACCATGCCCAGCTAATTTTTTGTATCTTTAGTAGAGATGGGGTTTCACCATGTTGACCAGGATGGTCTCGATCTCTTGACCTCGTGATCCACCCGCCTCGGCCTCCCAAAGTGCTGGGATTACAGGCGTGAGCCACCGCGCCCGGCAAGACTCTGTCTTAAAAAAAAAAGAAAAAGATGAGGGGGTGATTCTCATCCACTGAGCTAAGGCTTCAGCGGAGGGCAGGGGGCTGAGAAGGACTGGCTGCCTCACGCAGAATCCAGGAAAGGGTGCCTGCAGCTAATTACCAGAGAGGGGACACAGACAGATGTAGTGAAGTCAGCCTTGGCAAAGAGGGACCTTCCCTTTGCAGGCCAAAGTGCCTCATGCCTGTAATCCTAGTGCTTTGGGATGCTAAGGTGGGAGGATCACTTGAGGCCAGGAGCTGGAGACCAGCCTAGGCAACATAGTGAGACCTTGTCTCTAAACATAATTGTTTGTTGAGATGAAGTCTTACTGTGTTGCCCAGGCTGCAGTGCAGTGGCGCATTCTCAGCTCCCTGAAAACTCTGCCTCCCACCTCAGCCTCCTGAGCACCTGGGACTACAGGTGCTTGCCACCACGCCTGGTTAATTTTTTGTATTTTCAGTAGACAGGGTTTCACCATCTTGGCCAGGCTCGTCTAGAACTCCTGAGCTCAAGTGATCCACCTACCTCGGCCTCCGTAAGTGCTGGGATTACAGGCATGAAACACTGTGCCCAGCCTCTAAAATGAATTTCTAAAAAGTAAAAAGGGAGCTTTGGCATTCAAGATGGGTTGGAAATGAAAAAAAAAAAAAAAAAAAGAGGAAGCTTTCCTCAAAGACAAGACTCGGCCTGCATGGAAGGATTCTGAGACAGGAAGGCAACTCCAGGTGTACCTGTGGGGTGGCTCCCCTCATCCAGGAGATATGGAGGGAAGGCTGGCTGCCACCTGGGGGATGGAGAGGGTAGAGGGGGCAGGGAAATGTAGGGGGAAGACTCTTGGAGGCTGGGGTTGTGGAAGGAGCGAGGGGGTCTGGGCAGCATGACAGGGCGGTGTCCAGCCATAGGAGAACGGAAGGAATCGGTGAGTGTAACAGTCCAGGCACTGCTAGATCATTCTCGTTTGAGATCACAGTTTGACCCAAGGAAATGACTGGCGGACTGAGAGGAGTGGGAGGCAAGGGAGAGCCTGGTCGCCTCCAAACGGAGGAAGCGTGAAGAAGAGGGACGTCTAGGGGCCATCTGTAAGAGTGGGCTGGCTCAGGTCTGAGACGAGGTGAAGAGCTCAGGGCAGTGAGGGCTAAGGGTGGCTTCCAGGGAGTGGCCAGGGCCACATTCCCCTGCCTTGACGGCCAGGTCTCCCAAGCCCCATGAGTGAGGCCCTGCAGATGTCCCCGGGTTGGGTGGGGTTGTGGAGGAAAGGATGTCCGCCTTCCTGGAGCTGGGTCTTGAGACAGGTCTGCAGGTCTGGAAGGAGCAGTCCAGCAGGGGGTTCAAATCCATTCTGTAGGCTCCCAGCGCCAACAGTGTGTGTGCCAGGCCTGGTGGCCCAAGGGAAGGGACAGAGTCTCGGCCCCACACTGGATCTCAGGCAGGGGGTGGGGTGGGGCAGGATGGAGCCCCGCACTTCTGTTAGGTGGCACAGACCCTAGAGGATGCTCCGGGACTGAACCGTGTGGGATTTTTTTTTGCTTTTGCTTTAACAAGCAGTCAGAGAAAACAGGTCTTGTAGAATAATGCGATCCCCTCTCTAAAGATGAGCGATTTTCCCTGGCTGGCCTGTTGGATACATTTCTAGAGGGCGGTTTAGAGTTTGACTTCCTCAAAGCATCTGGGGCACCAGCAATGGCGAGTATCTCTCTCCAGTAGGCGGGCCTCCCAGGGGCACCCACCTGCATCCCTGTCCCTCCCCCAGGGACGCCTGGGTGACCGGACCCGGCTGGGACCCGGCTGCGGCCCCAACCCTGATCCTCCTCTGGGCACCGCACCCCGCCAGGGATCTCGCAGGGTGGGGGTCACCAATCCTGGATGGGTGGTGACCGCGCCCTCACAGCCCCACGGTCGTCCCCTTTCCCGCAGAGCAATTCCGCCACCCCCAAGCCGCAGGGGACCCCGCTCCCCGCACCAGCCCTCCCTCCCCCCCCACCCCGCCACCGCACTCACCGGAGCTGCCCTCGCCCTGCCCGGCTCTGCTCCCGCCCGGGCTGCGTGGCCGCGTGGCCTGTGGCCCGTGGCCCAGTGGCCGGGGCCGGGGCGCCGAGCACGGCCCCCTCCCTCCTTCCGCCGGTCGCGCGGGGTCCCCCGGCCCCGCCTCCGCCCCGCCCCCGCAGCCGCCGCAGCCGCTGTCAAGGCAACCAGGCGCCGCCGCCACGTGACCCCGTCCGCTGGGGAGCCGCGGCCACGTCACTTGCCGGGCCGGGAGGGGCGGGGCTGGCGGCGCCTCCTCGGGGTGTGGCGCCCCACCCGGGACCACGCCGAGATCGCGCTCTGAGGAGGAGCAGGGGAGGTGGGAAGACCCCGACCCGCCCGCATCCCTCCTGCCCCAGCTCCTGTTCCCGGCCCCCGCTCCGGGAGTCAAAGCGAGGCACCCCGCCCCATTGAGGGTCCGGCTACCCACAGACCAAGAGCTGGGCTCTTCCTGACCCTGGGTCCGGGCGCAGAAGGGGAGTCGGGAGGGGGGTGCCCAGCATTGGGCGCTGGCCGAGTGGAGCGATGGGGGAGTAGGGAGCGGGCAGTGGAGGGGAAAGTTAGGTGGGGAGGAGAGTATCTGTCTGGCCATGCCTGAGTTTTAGAGAATACTTTTTCATTTTCCTTTTTCCTTTTTTTTTTTTTGAGGCAAGAGTCTGGCTCTGTCACCCAGGCTGGACTGCAGTGGTGTGATCATGGCTTACTGCAGCCTCAAATTCCTGGGCTCAGGCCGGGCGCGGTGGCTCACACCTGTAATCCCAGCACTTTGGGAGGCTGAGGCGGGTGGATCACGAGGTCAAGAGATCGAGACCATCCTGGTCAACATGGTGAAACTCCGTCTCTAGTAAAAATACAAAAAATTAGCTGGGCGTAGTGGCGCATGCCTGTAATCCCAGCTACTCAGGAGGCTGAGGCAGGAGAATTGCCTGAACCCAGGAGGCGGAGGTTGCGGTGAGCCGAGATCGTGCCATTGCACTCCAGCCTGGGTAACAAGAGCTAAACTCCGTCTCAAAAAAAAAATTCTTGGGCTCAAGTGATCCTCCTGCCTCAGCCTCCCAAAGTCCGGAGGCTACAGGCAGGAGCCTGTAATTACCACACCCCGGTAATTTTTAAAATAATTTTTTGTTGGGCCGGGCACGGTGCTCACGCCTATAATCCCAGCACTTTGGGAGGCCGAGTCGGGTGGATCACGAGGTCAAGAGTTAGAGACCATCCTGGTCAGCATGGTGAAACCCCGTCTCTACTAAAAATACAAAAACTAGCTGGGCATGGTGGCGTATGGTGCACCTGTAGTCCCAGGTACTCGGGAGGCTGAGGCAGGAGAATTGCTTGAATCTAGGAGGCAAAGGTTGTGGTGAGCGGAGACTGTGCCATTGCACTCCAGCCTGGGTAACAAGAGTGAAACTCCATCTCAAAAAAAAAAAAAATTGTTTTGTTGTTGTTTGAGAGTTTTGTTCTGTCGTCCAGGCTGGAGTGCAGTGGTGTGATCTCAGCTCACTGCAATCTCCATCCCCCGGGTTTAAAGGATTCTCTTCTCAGCCTCCTGAGCTGGGACTACAGGTGCACACCACTAGCCTGGCTACTTTTTTGTATTTTTAGAAGAAGCTGGGTTTCACCATGTTGGCCAGGCTCGTCTTTTAAACCCCTGACCTCAAGTGATCCACCCACCTGGGCCTCCCAAAGTGCTGGGATTACAGTTGTGAGCCACCATGCCAGGCCAAAAAACATCTTTTTTAGAGATAGGGTCTCCCTGTGTTGCCCAGACTGGTCTTAAACTCCTGCCCTCAAGCAATCCTCTCCCATCCTCTCAAAAGAGCTGGAATTACAGGCACTTGCCACCACATCCAGCTAATTTTAATTTATTGTTTTTTTAAATAGAAATGGGGTCTCACTATGTTGCCCCCACTGGTCTTGAAACTCCTGGGCTCAAGTGATCCTTCCACCTCAGCCTCCCAAAGTGCTGGGCCACCTTGCCTGGCCCCTGCCCAGAGTATTGGATGGCACCATAAAGAGCTTGCACAGAGCTAATGGGGGGTTGCCATCCAGAGTGCACTGCCACTCACAGGCCCAGAGAGGCCCCTGGGATCCCAACCCCAGTGCGGCACGCTCTCCTCATGCTGTTCACAGACAGCAGCAAAGAGTTTCTGCTGTACCCTGGCCCCCTCCACTGCCTACTACAGGGAGCCTCTCACCCTTAGTGGTGAACTCTGGGTTTTACGAGCGAGATACTCAAACAAGAGCATTCTTTTCAGGAAGTACAGCACATGAATAATTCACAGACAGACAAGATGGGTTCCTATCAGCCCGGCGGTGCCAGACGGTCCCTTGGAGTCCTTCCTCTGTGCTGGGTAGGCTGCTGCGTGCCCTACATAGGATTTTTCCATCTGTCACAACAGCATTGGACCGTGACACATTTATCCAAAGGAAGGAAAAATTCCACTCCTGTCAGCCAGCCCACATTTTTATGACAATTGGAAGAGTAGATATTATAGATGGCAGGTTAAATCCATCTACACTTCAAGTTGTATTTTAGAGGCTATTGCTGAGAGCCAGGATGAAACCAGGACACTTAGTCTAATAAACCAGACTTCCCCCTCCAGGTTACTAACCTAAAAGGCAGTTTAGCCCCTAACATGGGCATAAGAAAATCCCAGGGTTCCTTACTGGCCCTCCTCCCGCCACCCCCATAGATGGCTATGAGTAAGGGGTCATTTAATTTCAGGGGGTAAAGTCCTCAAAAAGTAATCATGCTATGGCTTTCCAACGTGGAGCTCTGGGTAAAATGAATCTTGGTGGCTCATGCCTGTAATCCCAGCACTTCGGGAGGCTGAGGCGGGTGTATCTGAGGTCAGGAGTTCAAGTTGAAACCCCATCTTTACTAAAAATACAAAAAGCAGCCGGACGTGCTGGCACACACCTGTAGTCCCAGCTACTGGGGAGGCTTGTGGCAGTAGAATCGCTTGAACCTGGGAGATGGAGGTTGCACTGAGCTGAGATCGTGACACTGCACTTCAGCCTGGGCAACAGAGTGAGACTCTCAAAAAAAAAACTTTGTAAACGGTAGCAGTTTGCATCACAGATGAATGCTTTCAGCAAAGGAGTCCTTTTGCTTGTTGAATTCTCACTCTTGCAGAGACTTCACTCATCCTTGGGAAAGCTTCCTGTGTCCGTTACTGATGCCACCACCCCCCAGGCACGTTTATCAAGCATGCCCAGACAGAAGCAAAATGCAAGTCATAATTGCCAGTGCTCTTCAGAGCTGGTTTCCTACCAAACACAGAATAGCTTGCTTGCTGCTTGCTTGCTTTTCTTTCCCTCCCTCCCTTCCTTTCCCTTCTTTTTTCTCTTCTCTCTCCCTCATATTTATGAGACAGAGTCTCACACTGTTGCCCAAGCTGGAGTGCAGTGGCGTGATCTCAGCTCATCGCAACCTCTGCTTCCTAGTGATTCTCATGCCTCGGCCTCCTGAGTAGCTGGGATTACAGGCACGCACCATCACGCCCAGCTAATTTTTGTGTTTTTAGCAGACAGTTCCACCATTTTGGCCAGACTGGTCTCAAACTTCTGGCCTCAAGTCATCTGCCAGTCTCAGCCTCCCAAAGTGTTGAGATTACTGGGATGAGCTGAGCCACCACACCCAGCCTATAATTGCTTTTTAATTTAATTTATTTATTTTTGAGTCTTGCCATCCAGGCTGGAATGCAATGGTGTGATCTTGGCTCACTGCAACCTCCACCTCCCAAATTCGAGTGATTCTCCTGCCTCAGCCTCCCAAGTAGCTGGGATTACAGGCACCCACCACTACGCCCAGCGAATATATATATATTTAGCAGAGAACAGGGTTTTGCCACGCTGGCCAGGCTGTTCTCGAAGTCCTGACCTCAAGTGATCCACTCACTTAAACCAAGCTCCTAAACCCAGAGCATGTTTGAGTGGTCAGCCTTGTCTGTCACTGGAGGCCCCTCCTTCCAGCAGGAAACCTCGTGAGTCTGCCTGCTTGTCCCCGTTTTCTGTCCCCTCTCTTTTCCTCTCTGACTGGCCTCATCCACTCCCATAGTTCCAAGGACGAGGGCAGCCTGACGACCATCATCACCTCCAGCTTTGATCTCTTTCTAGCACACATGCCTAGGGCCCTCTACTTGACCAGGCCCACAGCTGAATCTGTCATCTTCCCTCACATTCCTCCTCTACCTGAAGCAGGAGTGGCAGTGAACAAACCTTTCCAACACTGAACTGGGAAGGAAGTTGCAGTTTTATTTGGCGGGGAGCTGTGGCTGGCTCAAGCCTCAATAACTGAGCTCCCCAGCTAGAAAATCCTGGCCTCCTTTAAAGGCTCACAATCTAAGAGAGTACATGTGAGAAGGTTGTGACCTACGAGGTGAGTGAGGGTACATGGACTTAGGTGGTGGGGTTTTTGCAAGATTGAGGGAGAACAATGGAGGGTGTTTCTCCACATCCCACCTGCAATCTATACACAGGAGTATAGACAGGGGTTTGGTCTGTAACTTCCAGCTTGGGCTAGTGGTACCGGTTTTGTCTCCTCCGCTGACCTTGTGCCTTCAGTTTTCAACTTTTACTTCTCCTTTTGAAATGCAATGGAGAAGGCTAAGGGGAAGTGGTCTTAGAAGCTTAAGAGGGAGGGGGTCTCCTTCCTCACACCAGCTGGGTCTGCTGCCTCAGAAGGCTTCCCTCACCCACCCAGCTGCTGGTACCCACGAGTCCCCTCCCCATCAGGTTGTGTGAATTCTCCCACCTCCACCATGTCGCTGGACCGTGCCCCACTTCTCCCTGTCCCCATTTGCTTCTGCACTAACTCAGGGTACCATCACCTCTGCTCTGCATGGCAAGACAGGAGCTTGTCCCCTTTCACCAACTCAAAGGTCCCCTTGTGTCTCTCCACTCCAGCCCCTGCCATGGCAGGGCGACTCCCCCCTCCCCAGCTTGCTTTCTGGGCACTCTTGCTCTCCTGGGCCACCTAAGAGCTCAGCTCGACCCTTGCCCTTGTGGAGGCCTGGGTCAGGTGCCCACAGCACGCTGTGCTGCTCTCCCTGGCTCCTGTTCCTGCTCAGACCTGGAGCCCCTTGAAGGCTAGGACTGCCTAGTCCGCCACTGTCCCCAGTGCCTGGTAATGGGCCTTGGAATCCTTTGGATTTTGCACATGGTTGGTGCTCAATAAACATTTGCTATGTTTTCTTAAATTATTATTTTTATTTTTTTGAGATGGAGTTTCACTCCCGTTGCCCAGGCTGGAGCGTGGTGGTGCAATTTGGGCTCGCTGCAGCCTCGGCCTCCTGGGTTCAAGTGATTCTCCTGCCTCAGCCTCCTGAGTAGCTGGGATTACAGGCATGCGCCACCATGCCCGGCTCATCTCTGTATTTTTAGTAGAGACAGGGTTTCACCATGTTGGTTGGTTGGAGTTGCTTCCAACTCCTGACCTCAGGTGATCCACCTGCCCCAGACTCCCAAAGTGCTGGGGTTACAGGCGTGAACCGCACCCCCCCAGCCTTTTATTTTTGAGAGGTCTTGCTCTGTTACCCAGGCTGGAGTGTGGTGGCATAATCATAGCTCACTGCAGCCTCGACCTCCCAGGCTCAAGTGATTCTCCTGCTTCAGCTTCACAAGTAGATAGGACTATGCCACCACACCAGGCGCATTTTTCAATTTTTATTTTGTAGAGACAGAGGTCTCACTATGTTGCTCAGGCTGGTCTTGAACCCCTGGCCTTAAGCAATCCTCCCATCTAGGCCTCCCAGAGTGCTGGGGTTACCGGCATGAGCCACCACGCCCAGTGGATCTGCTACCTTTTGTAGAGGAAGAAAACAGGAGGCCTCCTGGAACTTGCTCCAGGTTAATTTCCTAGAGTGTTCTCGCTACTGAAATCTATGTTAATATATGGTAATCATAGCTCACTTTAGTCAAGTATGCCAAATAGTAAACAGAAATTAACTTCCAAGAGGGAGGAGAAAACACGTGTTTCTGTGACGAATGCAAAGGAATTGGACTGACTTCTATTTCTATCTCCAACAGTTAGCAGAAAGTCACTCCTCTAACTCAATTTTAATGTCTTGTTTTGTTTTTTTTTTTACCAAAATACAAATGGTATATACAGGGAAGTAAATTTAAAACGGGAACAGGGCAGGGCTAAGTGGTGCACACCTATAATCCCAGCACTTTGGAAGGCTGAGGTGGGAGGGCTGTTTGAGCCCAGAAGGTGGAGACCAGCCTGGACAAGATGGCAAAACCCCATCTGTATAAAAAATACATAAATTAGCCCGGCATAGTGGTGCATGCCTGTAGTCCCAGCTACTCGGGAAGCTGAGGTGGGAGAACGGCTTCAGCTCAGGAGTTGAAGGCTGCAGTGACCAATGATGGCACCTACACTCCAGCTTGGGTGACTGAGCAAGGTTTTGTCTCAAAATGAACTAATTAAGGGGCTGACTTCCAGTAGCTTTAAAAAAGGGGGGCGGCAGGTTCTGTAGTAGAATCTCCTGAGGCACCTGTTTAAAAGTGTATTTGGGAGTAGATCGTAAATGATGCAGAATCTCTGGGACATCACCAGGGAACTTAGATTTGTTTTTTTTTTTTAAGATGGGGTTTCACCCTGATGGCCAGGCTGGTCTTGAACTCCTGACCTCAGGTGAACTACCCACCTCGGCCTCCCAAAGTGCTAGGATTACAGGTGTGAGCCACCTTGCCCGGCCGGATTTGTTTTTAAGACTGGGTCTCACTCTGCCCAAGTTGGACTGCAGTGGAGTGAACTCCTGGCTCAAGGGATCCTCCCACCTTAGCTTCCCAAGTAGCTGGGACTATAGGTGCACACCATCACACTCAGCTAATTAAAAAATTTTTTTTGTAGAGAGGGGGTCTCACTATATTGCCCAGGCTGGTCTCAAACTCCTGGGCTAAAGCAATCCTTCTGTCTCAGCCTCCCATAGTGCTGGGATTACTGTGGGAGTTCACTGCGCCTGGCCAAAGCCTCCCATAATGCTGGGATTACAGGTGGGAGTTCACTGCGCCTAGCCAAAGAATTTTTGTGCTTGAGGTTTTCTGAGACGGTGTTACGTACACCTGTGTTTAGTTCCTGACTCCTCCCACCCACGAGCCATGTGGGACGTTACTTCATGATTCTCCCCTAACCATGTTTTTTTTTTGGGGGGGGAGTAGGCGCTCTCAGTATTACCCACTCCTTTCTCAGTGATGACATGTTTGTTCCTCTTTTACCAAATCAATTATGCCCTAAAGACAGACTGTCTCAAGGTCCTGATGATCTATTTAATAATGGCCAGAAATAGCTACAGGACATGATCTGCCTAAACATCACCTTCTTCTTTGCACCCAGTGGGGGCGAAACCCACCGCAAACTGACATCCTCTTTGTCACCATGTGCCCACCCACCCCACATGCCTGCAGCCAGCGTCTGTCTCTCTTGGCCAAGTGAGCTGGCAGAGGCAGGAAGGGACTTGCCCAGTCCCCTGGCTTACCAGAGGCACAGGCAGGGCTCAAAGCCAGGTCATTCAGCTCCAAGACCAGCACCCTCCGCAGCACTGAGGATGCCCACAAGCTGCAGGCTGCAGATTCAGAGCAGGGGCTGTGACCCACGTGGAGGTGGGGAGAGGGATGGAAACCAACAGTCCAAAGATAGGAGAAATAAAACTGAAACGCAAACCAGCCAGTCCCAGACAGAAAAACAGGTTTCAAAATGTGCAGCCGGGGCATGTGCTCATTTATTAGGGCTGCTTCTCTGTGTCTGCTTTCTGGGAAAGAAAATCCCTGTGACATGAACCAATGAAGGGACAGGAGTCACAGGGCTCAGCAAGGGGCCGGGGAAATCTATACCACAAAAGTAAAGCAACATCAAATGTTTCTGGGTTTCCTTTCCCTTCACTCAAAACCACTATTTCCTTAATTCTATCAGAGTGTGTAAAGGGCACAAAATAGATGTAGGAACCTGGAGCTAAATCATCCAAAAATGGTGCCAAGGCCCTACCTAGAAACTCTCTGAGTTGCCCCGTTGGCCTGAAAACATGGAGGTTGAAGGTTGGTCTCAGCTCCCCCCAGGCACCCTGGCTCCCAGTAGTGCCCCGGCCTCTGTGTTCATCATCGTTTTTTACAAGGCAGGGTCTCACTCTATTGCCCAGGCTGGACTTGAATCCCTGGACTCAAGCGGTCCTCCCACCTTGGCCTTCCGAGTAGCTGGATTCCAGGCACTCACCGCTGCACCAGGCTACCCTGCTCTCTGCAGGTGCCTTCTCTGCACGAGCCCAGTGCCTGGACACTGATCTGGGGCTGTACCACCTGAGGACATAGCAGATCCACTCCTTCCTTGGGGCCCAGTTGCTGCGACCCCAAGGAAAGCCTCAGGTGGTTTCAGTCCTGAGGAGCTCCACCCACTTGACGGAGTCCTGCCACTCAGCCCCTGTTTGTTTAGACCCCCTTCCACCTCAGGATGAAAACGCAGCTGTTGGTAAAGAACCCCAGTACGGCTGGGATTCCCCCGCCCTCTGCTCTGGCTCAGCCCAGCCTGGATTTTCCGGCTGCTCATCCTCTGGCCACCCGCTTTTCCCCCACAGTGCTTTCCACACACCGCATGCCCTTCCTGTGCCCCAGTCCCTGGTGAAGTCCCCGGCCCAGGCCCCCCTGCGCACACCTGGGGCTTCCCAGAACACACGGGGCACCGGGAGCCGTGGTGGGAGCAGACCCTCTTGGGCATGGTCCCCACTTCCCACGGGGGTGAGTGGGGGTCTAGGCTGGCAACATGGGCCAGCCCCACAGCTGAGGGCATCTCCTCATTGAGCCTGGGACCAGGTCCGCATAACAGGGCCTGTGGGGTCTTCAGTCCCCATGGGAATGGTGGCATCTCCTAGCCTTCTCCAGAGTACCTGTGACTCACAGTCCACACATCCCAACAAAACCCAAGGGTGTTCTGCTCTTTACTAAATAAATGTTCTTTTCCCAGAAACCAGCCCCAAACTCATCACCGTTCAAATATGACAAGGTGAGGCTCTCTGTCCCCTTTTACCAGGAGCATGGATGGCGTCTGCAAGGCAGTGCCTTCGTGTGCCGGGGAGGTGGCCCCTCAGCCTCCCAACCCTGCTACAGGCAGGACTGCGAGCAGCTCGGGAGGGTCTCCTATGCTGTCCATCCAGCAGGACCTCTCGGGGGGAGAAAGCCAAACAGCTGCCTTTCCCTTCTGCTCTCAGCACGACCCGGGTTCCAGGCAGCGGCTGCAGCAGACATCATCGCCCCATGATGAAGCTGGGCACCTCCTCCTCCTCCTCCTCCTCTGTTCCAGATGCCTCCGCAGAGCTGCCGGACCCCTGCTCCTCAGGCTGACTGGGCCCTGTAACCACATGACATTCAATTGACAGATATGTAAAATCATTCAGGGTCGAGTGTGCTTTCAAAGAGGAGAGCTGAGGAGAAGTCAGGAAGTCCCCATTCATGGACCACACAGTGAGAAACCAGGGCCACGCCTCATGCCTGGCAGTCCCCCCAGCCATTCCCTGACAGTAAGGGTTGGTCACAGGCCTGATCTACCGCTGCTCTGCCGGGTACACCCCATCCTTACCCAAAGGTCCAGAGGCACACGCAAGATCTGACACCCCATAACCAAGGCCCTACTGCTTTTACATGGCTTCTGCCCCCCGCCATGTCCACCTCCTGGGTGGGCGACTTCCCGACCCAGCCCATCAACACCAAGCTGACAACCCTCTCACTCAAGTCTCAAGTTCTCACTGCCGTCTGCAAAAAGATTTCTGAAACCTGTGTAGCACAGGGCTCTGCCCCTACACATAGGCCAGCTTCCTGGCTCCTCCCAAGCATGGCCCAGGAACCGCCTCCTGACACCTGTGTGCACCGCAGCTTCCCTGTCCCGTCATGATTGCCAGCCAGAAGCAAAGCAGGAAAACAACATGTTCCCAGCACCTCCTCCCCATCTTCATGTGGGAGCAGGAGGACAAGTGAGAGTTGGAAAGACAGAGGCAGAGGCCACAAGGCAACTGATGGCCCAGGTCAGCCACACCAGGCTGCCACCCGCAGGCATGGTGGCCTCAGCAACTCACAACGGGGTGGACACGCCTGGGCCAGCCGATGGCTCCACCCTGTACATGTGCGGGCGTTGTACTGGCCACACACGCCCACTACACACCCTGAGCTTTGCTACTGCTGTGTCACCACAGGTCAAAGGGCCTCTAAGCAGGAGACCCTGTACAGCCAAAGGCACAGCCCAGCCTAAAATTCACTGCCATACCCAGAAAGAACACACGGCACTGGCGAAAGCAGCCGGAGCTGAGTTTCATTAATTTGCGCATCCCTTCTTCCCCTCAGCCTCATACCACAGAGCACGACTAGCTTCAAAAGTTCAAATGGGGAAGCTGGGCGCCATGGCTCACGCCTATAATCCCAGCACTTTGGGAGGCCGAGGCCGGTGGATCACTTGAGGACAGGCATTTGAGACCAGCCTGGCCAACATGGTAAAACCCTGTCTCTACTAAAAATACAATAAAATTTAGCCAGGCGTGGTGGTGCAGGCTACTTGTAATTTCAGCTACTTGGGAGGCTGAGGCAGGAGAATTGCTTGAACCCGGGAGGCAGAGGTTGCAATGAGCCGAGATCGCGCCATTGCACTCTAGCCTGGGTGACAGAGCAAGACTTCATATCAAAAAAGAAAAAAAACAGCATAGGGTCTGATCTTTAATTGTGATCTTGATGAATTGTTTTTTTTTTTTTTTTGAGATGGAGTTTCCCTCTTGTTACCTAGGCTGGAGTGCAATGGCGTGATCTCGGCTCACCGCAACCTCCGCCTCCTGGGTTCAGGCAATTCTCCTGCCTCAGCCTCCTGAGTAGCTGGGATTACAGGCACGCGCCACCGTGCCCAGCTAATTTTTTGTATTTTTAGTAGAGACGGGGTTTCACCATGTTGACCATGATGGTCTCGATCTCTTGACCTCGTGATCCACCCGCCTCAGCCTCCCAAAGTGCTGGGATTACAGGCTTGAGCCACCGCGCCCGGACTCTTGATGAATTGTTGTACACTGAACTGGATGTTTGTGGAAAAGAATAATACAGGAGGACTCAAAGGATTCCCTGTGGCTGAAAACCCTTTGAAAATGCAGTATAGGCTGTGAATTCCTGATCTAAAATGCTCGGTACCAGAAATGTTTCAGGTTTCGGATGTTTTCAGATTTCGGAATGAGATATCTTGGGAATGGGACCCAAGTCTAAACATGAAATTCATTTATGTTTCATATATACCCCATACACTTAGCCTGAAGGTAAATGTAACATTTAAAAATAATTTTGTGTGAGAATCATGCAGGCATAGTTGTGTCCTGGGTCGCCAAGATGTCACTCCGTCGCGCCTGGCTACTCTGCCCCAACCCTTGACTCAGCCGAATCCGACTCATCTCCAGAAACCCGGCGGACGCAAGTGGAGCGGTTGGCCACAGGAGCCTGGATGAAGTGAGAGTACCTGCTTCAGTACAACCACCCCAACCGCTGAGGAGCCATCAAAGATCCTGCCTTGATTCGCCGGACCTCTGCAAGATCAACAATGTCTATCCTAATTTCAGACCCACTCCTAAAAACTCATGCTTGGGAGCTCTGTGTGGATTTGGGCCCCTCTTCTTCTGGAATTGTGTTTTCAAAAGTGACAGGGATAGGAAAGAAAAACCTACCCGGGAAGGAAAATTGGATGGAACATTTAACCTCTCATACCAAGTCTGGAAAGATGACTACATGTATTCCTGCCTAAATAAATTGTCTATTAATCAAAATAATAATAATAATTTTGTGGCTGGGTGCAGTGGCTCATGCCTGTAACCCTAGCACTTTCGGAGGCCAAGGTGGGCGGATCACAGAAGGAGAATTGCTTGAACCCAGGAGGCAGAGGTTGCAATAAGCCGAGATTGCACCATTGCACTCCAGCCTGGGGGACAGAGCAAGACTTTGTCTCAAAAAAAAAAAAAAGCCGGGCGCAGTGGCTCACACCTGTAATCCCAGCACTTTGGGAGGCCGAGGCGGGTGGATCACAAGGTCAAGAGATCGAGACCATCCTGGGTCAACATGGTGAAACCCCGTCTATACTAAAAATACAAAATATTAGCTGGACATGGTGGCGTGTGCCTGTAATCCCAGCTACTCAGGAGGCTGAGGCAGGAGAATTGCCTGAACCCAGGAGGCGGAGGTTGCGGTGAGCCGAGATCGCGCCATTGCACTCCAGCCTGGGTAACGAGAGCAAAACTCCGTCTCAAAAACAAAACAAAACAAAAACAAAAACAACAAAAAAAAACAACCAACCGCATAGGGTCTGATCAGTTTGAGACCAGCCTGGCCAACATGTCAAAAACCCATCTCTATAAACATACAAAAATTAGTCAGGTGTGGTGGCATGTGCCTGTAGTTCCAGCTAATCAGGAAACTGAGGCAGGAGAATCACCTGAACCTGGGAGGCAGAGCTTGCCGTGAGCCGAGATTGCGCCACTGCACTCCAGCCTGGGTGACAGAGCAAGACTCCGTCTCAAATAATAATATTTTTGTGCAAGAAACAGTTGTGTATGACAAACCATGAGAAAGCAAAGTAGTCTCTCTCCCCCACGTGGCTGATCTGTGGTTTGGCATCACCATCATTTCTGACTGAATTTCTGTGCTACTTGTAAGCAATTCTTTTCATATTCACACAGAGGGCTGTGTGACACTCACAGAGTGGAAAGTAGTATGATCAGAGCAGTTAAGCAGCTCAGTCGCATCACAGGAACACCTGGATCAGTGGTTAAGCGGCAGCGATGGGCTCTCAATCCCCACCAACGATGCTGTGTCTGGATGAAAGGTTACTGGACACTGTCATTTTTTTTTTGGAGACAGTCTCACTCTGTCACCAGGCTGGAGTGCAGTGGTGTGATCACAGCTCACTGTAGCCTCCTGAGTAGCTGAGACTATGGGTGTGTGCCACCACACCTGGCTAATTTTTGTATTTTTCGTAGAGAGGAGGTCTCAACCATGTTTCCCAGGCTGGTCTCAAACTCCTGGGCTCAAGTGATCCTCCCTCCTTGGCCTCCCAAAGTGCTGGGATTACAGGCGGGAGCCACCACCCCCAGCCTCATTTTTCAATTCTGCATCAACTTCTGTTCATTGCTTTTGGCACTTAATCGTTCATCCTTCTGCTTCTTCAGGTGTGTGGCAGTCATTCTTGGCTTTCCGGGCTACAGATACACATAAATGCCTCCTCTTTTTCCTATCACTGTTACCCACAGGAGAATCTGCAGCCTCTCTGAGTTTTCAGTACTGTATGTCAGGCCTCCATGTGCAAGCCTGGACCCAGAAAGTCTGAAGTCCTGCCTGCCTCCGAGGATCACCCCCCAACCCCCAACCCCCAATCCCCAATCCCCGCCTGCGCTGGCCATCATCCCTGATCACCATTTCAAACCCCACCCTGCCACCTTAACTGTTCTTATGATAATGTGAATACTCCTCGCCCCCACCTACCATCTTAACTACTCTTAGGCCTTACCCACCTGCCACTGTAACTAACCTTACTGTAACCTCTCATGCCTTACCCACCTGCCACTGTAACTAACCTTACTGTAACCTCTCATGCCTTACCCACCAGCCACTGTAACTAACCTTACTGTAACCTCTCATGCCTTACCCACCAGCCACTGTAACTAACCTTACTGTAACCTCTCATGCCTTACCCACCAGCCACTGTAACTAACCTTACTGTAACCTCTCATGCCTTACCCACCAGCCACTGTAACTAACCTTACTGTAACCTCTCATGCCTTACCCACCTGCCACTGTAACTAACCTTACTGTAACCTCTCATGCCTTACCCACCTGCCACTGTAACTAACCTTACTGTAACCTCTCATGCCTTACCCACCTGCCACTGTAACTAACCTTACTGTAACCTCTCATGCCTTACCCACCAGCCACTGTAACTAACCTTACTGTAACCTCTCATGCCTTACCCACCTGCCACTGTAACTAACCTTACTGTAACCTCTCATGCCTTACCCACCTGCCACTGTAACTAACCTTACTGTAACCTCTCATGCCTTACCCACCAGCCACTGTAACTAACCTTACTGTAACGTATACTCCTTGCCCCACCCCCACCACCATTACTAATCTTACTCCGTAACACCCCTGCCCCCTCCCCAAAAGATTTCCCCAACCTATAAAACCAACTCCTATCCCACGGCCCTTTGCTAACGCCCTTTTCAGCCTTGGCCCACCTGCACCCAGGTGAATGAACAGCCATGTTGCTCACACAAAGCCTGTTGAGGGGAGGGGTTTCTTCATTCAACGTGCCTGTTTTTAACAATATACCACAAAACAGAAAACAAGCAAAAAAGCAGCGAGTAACGCATGTAGGTCTGGGCCCCGTGTGGGGCACTGCGGGAAACCTGCCACTGGCATGTGTGGTCTGCAGAGGAGCCATTTTCTTACCCTCTGTGGGTGTGCTTATGGCGGGGAGGGAGGAATCTGGGTGTATGTGAAAAGGTTGTACCACAGCTGAAGGGGGACACACTGGATAATCTGTGTTGTGTATCTGCGTTTCGACCGTGACCTGTTGCATGAGGTCAGGTCTGGAATTCCCACTTGCAGCCTCATCTCAGTGCTGAAAAAGCTCTGAATTCTGCAGCATTTCCATGTTCGGATCTTCAGGCTTGGGATGCTCAACCTGTACCTCCCTAATGGTCAACACAAGGGATTTTGTGTGTGTGGAAGTATCACTCTCGGGGAGGAGAAACCTAGAAATTGGGTGCACATTCAAGTCATTTAGCAATTCAACAAAATTAACCCAGTTCACTCTTTCAACATAACAAATATAGAAAGAGTAAGAAATCATAAAGTGGTTATTTCTTGTTAGTTACTATGCTTAAAGTTGGTGATACAAGAATTAAAAAAATACTGTCACAAATTAAAACAAAGAGCACAAGGCCGGGTGCAGTGACTCATGCCCGTAATCCCAGCACCTAGGGAGGATCACCTGAGGTCAGCCTAACCAACATAGAGAAATCCTGATCTCTACTAAAAATAGAAAAAATTAGCCAAGCGTGGTGGCAGGCACCTGTAATCCCGGCTACTCTAGAGGCTGAGGCAGGAGAATCGCTTGAACTCAGGAGGCGGTGATTGCAGTGAGCAGAGATTGTGCCATTGCTCCAGCCTAGGAACAAAAGAAACTCTCAAAGAAAAAGCACAACACATATATTAGGACGGCTGTAATTAAAAAATAGACACTATTAAGTGCTACCGGGATGTGAGGTAAGAGAAACTTTCACTGCTGGTGGGAGTACAGCATGGAATAGCCACTTTGCAAGACAGTTTGGCCGTTTCTTACAAAGGTAACAAGATTAATCCTATCATACAATCCAGCAACCATGCTCCTAGGGACGTACTCTGTTGATATGAAATGTGCACACACAGCCGGGCGCAGTGGCTCACGCCTGTAATCCCAATACTTTGTGAGGCCAAGATGAGTGATCACTTGAGGTCAGGAGTTCAAGACCAGCCTGGCCAACATGGTGAAACCCTGTCTCCACTAAAAATACAAAAATTAGCCGGGAGCGGTGTTGAGCACCTGTAATCTCAGCTACTCCGAAGGCTGAGGCAGGAGAATTGCTTGAACCTGGGAACCCAGGTGTGATATAGCTAGCCTAGAGTTAGAACCTGTACACTGCCATTTTATAAAGGACAAAACTGTTTCCATTCTCCTCACAATGACTGCTAACCTTGGCTTCTGTAAAACTGCTAAGTTTACTTTGCAAAATGCAAATTGAGGTAAAGCTGCATACCTTCTTTTATCTGTAACTGCCAGAATTGCTGGCCTTTGTTTACCAGAGTAAGCACGCCCAGATAATTCCATCCTGGCGCCAAGTAAATAAAAATCTATGGATCCCACTCCTACCCAGACGATGTGTAAACAAATGCTAATCTCAGCATCTGTGAACCCTTTAAATGACAATCAGAATGTCAAATAGTCCCCTGGCCCTCGAAATGTCTGGAACCCCCTCACCCTCATCTCCGCCCAGAAGGTGATTTGAATTCACTGGCCCTCGGAATGTCTGAAGCCCATCACCCCATCCTCTCCCCTCACCCCCAAGGTGATTTTACGGGTATAAAAAGTCTTGTCACCCTCTTTTACGGGGCCACGGGTTGGAGAGACGTGAGTCCTCCGTGGTCGCCGGCAATAAACCCTGCAATTTGGCATACTTTTGTCTTGGTGTTGACTTTCTGTGCTCGGTCCAACACAGGAGGCTGAGACTGCAGTGACCTGAGATTGCGCCACTGCACTCCAGCCTGGGCGACAGAGACTCCATCTCAAAAAAACACCAAAAAACAAAAAAACTAGCACACAAGTATTTGCCACAGCTTTATCCATAATCACCAAAACTGGGATGCAACCAGGATGTCCTTCAGTGGGTGAATGGTGGTCTGTCTATATGGTGGACTACTATTTGGCAATAAAAAGGAATGGGTCACTAAACCACACAAAGACACAGATGAATTTTCAAGGCATTCTGGTAAGCAAAAGCAGCCAATCTGAAGAGGCTGTATATGACACAGTCCAAACTCTATGACAGTGTGGAGAAGGCAAAACCACAGACGCAGTAAACAGATCAGTGTTGCCAGGGGCTGGGGCTGGGGCTGGGGCTGGGGAGGAGGCTGAACAGCGGTAACATAAGGAATTATTTTAGGGCAGTGGAATATTCTGTATATGGCAGTGGTGGATACATGGTACTATGCATTTGACAGAATCCACAGGACCTTACAGCACAGACAATTAAAACTTAATCATGCCTTGTTGCTGCTGCTGTTGTTTGGGACGGAGTCTTGCTCTTGTTGCCCAGGCTGGAGTGCAATGGCGAGATCTTGGCTCACCGAAAACTCCCCCTCCCAGGTTCAAGTGATTCTCCTGCCTCAGCCTCCTGAGTAGTTGGCATTAGAGGTGCCTGCCACCATGCCCAGCTAATTTTTTGTATGTTTAGTAGAGACAGGATTTCACTATGTTGGTCAGGCTAGTCTCGAACTTCTGACCTCAGGCGATCCACCCGCCTCGGCCTCCCAAAGTGCTGGGATTACAGGCATGAGCCACCTCACCCGGCCTACTATTGCTGTTTTTTAAAAGATGGAGTCTCGTTCTGTCACCCAGACTGGACTGCAGTGCGGTGATCTCAGCTCACCGCAACTTCCACTTCCCAGGTTCGAGGGATTCTCCAGCCTCAGTCTCCTGAGTAGCTGGGATTACAAGTGCCCGCCACAACGCCTGGCTAATTTTTGTATTTTTAGTGGACACGGGGTTTCACCATGTTGGCCACGCTGGTCTCAAACTCCTGAGCTCAATGATCCACCCAGCTCAGCCTCCCAAAGTACTGGGATGACAGGCGTGAGTCACTGCACTGCACCCAGCCCCCCTTTCATTACTTTATACTACTGTTTATTTACTATTTTAAGATCCAGGAATCGAGATTTTCTTCACAGGTTACAGGCATATTGAGTAAAATGCCACTGACTGCAACTGAAGCACACATTTTGTTTTTAACGGATGAATGAATGCATTAGGAAAAACCCTGTAAGTATAGACTTGGGAAAATACTTGTGATACAATGGTACATGATAAAATCAAGGTATCTATAAATATGGCATTTATAGAAATAAGACATATATTTAAAAACTGAAATAAATTAAAGTGTTAAATTCATTTTTAGTAAGGGTTACAGATAACTTTATAATTTATTTATTTATGAAACAGAGACAAGGCCTTGCTATGTTGCCCACACTGGTCTCAAACTCCTGGCCCAAACGATCCTCCAGCCTCAGCTTCCCCAAGTGCTGGAATTACAGGCAAGAGCTACCATGCCCAGCCAACTTTTATTTTTGATGTTGTTCTTTTCTGCATATTTTTAAAGTTTCTAAAATGATCATAGAGTATCTCTTTTCTCCAAAGACACAAGGATGTGGATAGTTTTCCAACATGTTTAAGGATTTTGGCTCTGAAATAAATAGTTTGATCCAAACACATGTAGAGTGCCTTCTGGACATGGGATACCTGCCTCTAGATCAGGAGCTCTCAGCCAGGGACAATTCTGTCCTCCTCCTGCCTGGTGCACACATGGCAATGTCTGGAGGCATCCCGAACTGCTGATGACTGGGGGAAGACGCTAGGACGCTGTGAGACATCCTGCAGTGACCAACACACAGCCCTTCACGACACAGCATTTCCCGCCTGAAGCATCAGCAGTGCGTCCATGGAGAAGCTCTGTCCCAGATCAGCCTAGTAACAAATCCCCTAAGGGCACCCTGGACTTCTCTGCTGAGCAGGCCTATGTTAGGATAAGTAACAGTGGTGTGGGAATAAATGATCTGGGGAGTTGAAGGCTTCAGAATAATCCAAACTGGCTTAATGCCATCCCATGCTGTCATTGAGACACAAGTCCCACACTGCCGGGAGTCTTCCCTGAGCTACTGGGCCAGCACAGAAAACAAGTGATGAGATCTCCTCTCCAACAGCAGAACAGAACGCCCAGCCAGCTGCCCTCTGCTTTTTAGGAGAAGAGCCAAAAAAGCTTCAGTGATCTGTACCTCCAAGTCCAATCGGGACCCATGGCACCCCAAAGTCACCTTGTGGTGCAAGCTGGTATTACCACATTAGTTCCCATTTCTTTCCACAGGACTACTGGAAAAGCTTGCTTAGGCTCACAAAAAGAAAAATAAAGAAGGAAACTGAGAAGGCGAGGTAAACGGCATACAAACCACTCTTTACATATTTATTTATTTTGAGATGGGTGCCCACTCTGTCGCCCAGGATGGAGTGCAGTGGCACAATCTCAGCTCACTGCAATCCCCCTCCCAGGCTCAAGCAATCCTCCTACCTTAGCTTCCTGAGTAGGTGGTACTACAGGCCTAAGCCACCATGCCTGGCTAATTTTTTTTGTAAACTTGGTAGAAACAGTTTCGCCATGTTTCCCAGGCTGGTCTTGAACTCCTGGACTCAAGTGTTCTGTCTGCCTCGGCCTCCCAAAGTGCTGGGATTACAGGCGTGAGCCATTGTGCCCAGCCTGATAAAAATTAATATTTTTAAATAATACAGGGAACTCTTAAAATTCAACAAAATAAGACCGGACGCGGTGGCTCATGCCTGTAATCCCAGCACTTTGGGAGGCCAAGGCAGGTGAATCACGAGGTCAAGAGTTCAAGACCATCCTGGTCAACATGGTGAAACCCCGTCTCTACTAAAAATATAAAAAATTAGGTGGGCATGGTGGTGCATGCCTGTAATCCCAGCTACTCAGGAGGCTGAAGCAGGAGAACTGCCTGAACCCAGAAGGCAGAGGTTGTGGTGAGCCAAGATTGCGCCATTGCACTCCAGCCTGGGTAACAAGAGCGAAACTCATCTCAAAAAAAAAAAAAAAAAAATTCAACAAAATAAAAACAACCTGATTAAAAAATGGCCAAAGGACTTGAATAGACCTTTCTTGAAAGAAGATATACAAATGGCCAGGCTGGGTGTGGTGGCTCATGCCAGTAATCCCAGCACTTTGTGGAGCCAAGGTAGGCAGATCACCTGAGGTCAGGAGTTGGAGACCAGCCTGGCCAACATGGTGAACCCCCATCTCTACTAAAAATAAAAAAATTAGCTGAGTGTGGTGGTGGGTGCCTGTAGTCCCAGCTACTTGGGACAATCACTTGAACCCAGGAGGTGGAGGTTGCAGAGAGCCAAGATGGTGCCACTGAACTCTAGCCTGGATGACAGAGCGAGACTCCATCTCAAAAAACAAAACAAAACAAAACAAAACGACAATAACTACTACAAAAGTGGCCAATAAGGACACGAAACAATGCCCAGCATCACAAGTCATTAGGGAAATGCAAATCAAATACAGTGAGGTACCACTTCTCACCCATTAGGATGGCTACTCAAAACAAAGAAACCAACCAAACAAACAAAAACAGAAAATAGGAAGTGTTGGTGAGTATGTGGAGAGAGTGTAGCCCTCTGGCACTGGTGGGAGTTTAAATGGTTCGGTCCCTATGGAAGAGTATGGTGAGCACACACAAATTAAAAACAGAACTAAGGTCAGGCATGGTGGTTCATTACACATGGTGGTTCACACCTGTAATTCCAGCACTTTGGGAGCGGCTGGATTACCTGAGGTCAGGGGTCTG